CTCAGAGTGCAAGTGGACAATTTCTCACCACCATGAACCTTTTCTCTGTGTCACTCACCCTGCCTGACTGTTTTCTGGAGATTGCAGAATTGGGAGTGGGGTAAGAGGAACAGAAGAAACTTGTGAGATGGGAACCAAGAGAGCCCCAGACCCACGAGCTGCCAATATCAGGGACATCCTTGGCTGTCAGTGCAGGTGGTCACCCCAGGTGCCACACTCAGTGTTGCTGGCCATCCATGCCCCTGGCAGAACCATGACAAGGACCCTCAGCAAAGACCTGAAGCTCCATGAGGAATAAGAGTCCTTAGCTGACTTGGACTTGCCTCTGTAGAAAAAAAAAGCAAAACACAGTAACTCTACCAAATCCTCCAGGGAGAAGTGCCAGAGGCCTCATTGCTAATGTAATCTCTTTGCCGGTCTGTAGAATGGGTGGGTGAAGCTACCATCTAAGCAGGTGCTGCTTTGGTCACCTCCCCACATCCTCGTGTAAGGCAAAGACTAGAGACTACAGAACTCTGGTAAAGAGGCAGCCTCCAGCATCCTCCAATATCTATCTCACTGGTCCCTCCTCTTTAGGGCGAGCCAATATAATTATAACTAGATGTGTAAGACATCAAACAACAACATTTGCATTGCACTTCAGAAAAAATGCAAAGTGCTTTTTGTAGGTGATCTGCTAATACGTTCAGCAGCCCTGGGGTGGGGAATTATTCCTTTTATTTTGCAAATGAGAGAAGTGAAGTTCAAAGGACTTGAGTGGTGTGCACCCCAGGGGCACCTGACTCTGGGCTGGGCAGGAGTCCGACTCTAGATTCTTCAAGTAGGGCAGGATGGTGCTGGCTCCAGCAGGCATTCTGGGCCACTCCTGGGCTGTTGCCAGGAGGGACCTGAAACAGACTCCAGTGAGCAAGGCAAAGCAGGCTTCCAGATTCCCTTTCAACCTTGGCCCAGCTGCCCGCTGGTTGGCACACAGTGTTAATTACCCTGCTTGTTCATGCCCCTGCCTGCCGCCTGGCTGTCCCTCTTCACAGACAGAAAAGCACCGTGTGGAGAGACTGCCTCGCACATCTGTGTTCCTCGGCCAGCAGGAGGCACAGGGCCTCTGGTTACCAATGGATGAGGATGACCGTGGGCTTGCCTTTCGACTCTCAGTGTTAGCTTTCCTCATTAGCATCCCCTCCAGTGTTGCCACGAGAATCATGTGCCAGAAGCTGCCAGAGCTAAAGCTAGCACCCTCACCTGGTGGGCCCCCACATACGACCTCTTTCTTTCTCTGAGGAACTCCTCTACACTGGCCTCTGAGGGCGACAGGGGCTCTGAGGTAGTGTCGGGGAGGCTCAACAAATAGACACCTCAACTTTGGGTGTGCCCAACAGCCTGTAACCTATGGACCAAATGTACCCCAAGATAGCCATGAAGGTGGCCCAACACAAAATCTTAAACTTACTTAAAACTCAAATCTTAGTATTAGATTCAAAGTTTCGTATAAAGCTGCATTTAAAGCTTTGAACAGGAAGGGATAGAGTGTGATTTAAACTTCAGAAGTAAAGCAATTGGAGACTAGTGATGTAGCTGAGTTGGGAGAGTGCTTGCCTAGCATTCACTAGGCCCTGGGTTCAAACCTCAGCACTACATGAACTGCCTGTAATCCCAGAGGCAGGAGGATCAGTAGTTCAAGGTGACCCTTGGCTTATGGTGGCTCTGAGTCCATCCTGGGCTACAAGATCCTGTGTCCAAAATAAGGGAAGAAAGGAAAGGTGAGATGACTCAGTGGGTAAAGTCACTTTCTACCAGGTCTGATACCAGAGTTCCATTTTCCAGAACCATATAGTGGAAGGAGACAGCCAACTGCCACAAATTGTCCTCTGGCCTCCGTGTGGACAGTGGCATGTCATTGGGTTGCATGCTTGTGATTAAAGCTGCAGTGAACATCCTGGTCCGTGTCTTTTTGTGGTCAGGTGCAGACATTTCTGTTGGGCACATGAATGGTTGTAGGATGCTGAGCTGTGGGCTTGGCTTTCATAGCTGTCAAGTCCAATAGGCGTGGCATCTGCCAGCAGCGTGTGAACTCTGGTCTCTTTAGCTCCTCACTTCCACTTGGCATCAGCCTTCTGCTAGGTTTCGGTTCTCTGTTGGAGTTGTGGTGATGTCTCACTGTGGATTTTAATTTGTGTTTCCCTAGCATTGGTGATACAGAGACCAGCTGGACGGTCCAAAAGCCACCTCTCTGCTTTGGGTGTCTCTTAGAGAAATGTTGTCCCCTATCCTTGGCGTGCCCCACCATCCACGGCATTGCAGAGGGCTGTAACTGGGGAAACTGCCTCTGTTCTCCAGAGTGGGGAGACTGCCTTGGCATCTCACCTCCTTCACATTCTGGTACAGATTATGAAGTTTCCCGCAGGGTATTGGAAGAACTGCTTCTTGGTGTTTGGGATTATTCTCCATGCCAACCCTTCAATGTAAGATTCCCTTTGGTGTGTAACCTGCTTCCCCGCCTGTGTGATTATACATCCATTAGTTTAAGTCAGGGAGGGAGGTGTGGCCACAGTTATTAGAAAGAGCTCGAGCAGCAGTAAACTTTTACCGAGGACCTGCCTGGGGCAGGAAACACGGTTGAGTGAATTGGAGTCTGGTGAGTAGCATACAGCATAATGTACCATGAAGATGTCACAGAGACTCATTAGTCACTCAGAAATGTAACTGTGCAGAGTATGTGCCAGAAGCCATGCTGCTTGCTCACAGAGACTCTCACCCAGCACGTGAGCTGGAGTTCATCAGAGACCAGCAGAACTGTCTGGGCAAAATCAAGGCTCTGGGACTTACCCACAGTCAGCTGGCCAGGAAATAGGTGGTCTTCTGCTTCCACCTGGATGTAGGCACTGAGCTAAGAGTCCATGGGAATTAGTGCTATGAAATAGGGATGTGCACCTCCAAGTGTAGCATTCTTTTGAATCTGGTGTTCAGTTCCTTATGGTACAGATCCACGAGTGGACTTGCTGGGACACGTGATAATTCTGTGTTGGAATTCTTGGGGATATGGCACCTCTTTGAGTACTGGAGTGGAGATGACAATGATAGCCATCAGATGAAAGACAGAATGAGCAGCAAGAGCTCTGGGTGTCTTACAGGCAGCACCAATGAGCCTGAAGGGTTGTGAGGGAAGTAGGGACAGGGGTCTTCTGTGCCTAGTTGGCTGCTCCTGCTCCCAGGCCAGTGAGCACTTTGAGGATTCCCGCTCCTCAGAAGACAGGAAGGCAGAAGCAGGCAGCTGGTACCTTGTGAGCCAGCCCCACTGCAGCTGTAGGGTCCAGAAGGCTGCCCCCTCAGGGCATCTTCTCCCAGGAAACTGGCTCCTACGATTTCCATGCCAGAGAGCTCCAGCCCACTGCCTGGGTGGGTTCTCTCATCTGCCAGATGTCCCTCACTCGCCTTTGGAGCTGGTCAGGGTTGGCAAGCAGCCCAGCCCCTCGCTGTGTCCCCAGCCTCTCTCTGTGTCCCCAGCCTCTCCCTGTGTCCCCAGCCTCTCTCTGTGTCCCCAGCCTCTCCTGTTACCTGCACTCCTCTAAATAGCCAGAGTTGGAAACGGGAGGGAAGGGGAAGTGAGATCACTCAAAGGGCATCCTTAAACTTGCTGCCGACTCCTACTCTTGCCTTCCTCCCTCCCAAGTTGCCTCTCCAGAGAGGCTGGACATGGTGGTGCATGCTGGTGATCATAGTAGTGAGGCAGCTGAGGCAAGAAGATCATTTATGAATTTAAAGCCAGCTTGACTACACAGTGAGATCCTGTCTCAAACAAACGAAAACAAAAATTGTAAACTGACAGGATGTCAGGCCACTGGGGAGGAGGCCGGGAGCCATGGTAGGGAAGGAAATCCCACCCCCACAAAGCTCACTGCCCTTCAAGTGCCCATGTTATTACCAAACCCTCAGTAATAAAATATTTCTTTTCCATGCAATTGCAAGGAAATTATGCAGTGTGGCTGGTGTATTAATCGTGTTGATTAATTACACTCAGGTAGTAATTAAACATCTGCTTCATAATCACACACAGCTTGAAGAGTGACATATACATGCACACACACAGACACACACGTACGTGTGTGTCTGTGTGTGTGTCTCTGTGTGTGTGTGTGTGTGTGTATGTGTGTGTGTGTGTGTGTGTGTGTGTGTGTGTGTGGACCCCAAACACAAATTCGTACAATGAGCCTCATCTGGGACCCAGGAAGCTACTGACCTGGGTTGGAGACAGAACGTCCATTGTCCCTCAGTGCTGAGTACACGGTCCCTGGGTGTGTCTCTTTCCTGGCCAAGCTTGGTTGGCACGGGCTGAGCCTCACTACACAGGCAATTTACTAGAGTGACTTAGAACTGTCTGCTAACTTGGCCATCAACCTGTACCCTTTAACTCTGTGGCTTAAGTCTCTGCCTCTCTCTTCCTCTCTCCCTCTCTCCTCTCCTGTCTCTCCCCCTCTCTTTCCCTCTGCTTCTCTCTTCTCTCTCCCCTCGCTCCCTTTCTCTCTCTTCTTCCCTCTCCTCTCCTCTGTCTCTGTCTCCTCCTTTCCTCTCTTCTCTCTCTCCCTGTTTCTCTCTTCTCCTGCCCCCCCCCGCACTGGTCTGTAAAACAAAGAAATCTGTGTGAAGAAGCTCCTGGGCCCTCTCCAGCTCTGCCATACATGGATTCTAATTTCACTCTTACTAATTAGGAATGAGAGACAATTTAAATTCAGTACCTAGCATCCTTGGTGTGTGAACAATGGGAAATAACTCCTCCTTATGACTTCCCGAAGACCCCATGAGTGAGGAGAAAATGCTAGAATCAACGACTGCTCTCCTGCAGCCTCCCCTGCTGCCAGCGTCCATGTTCATTCTCGTGTTTTAAATTTCCATGTTGGTGTTTATGGGCTATCATTAGGTGATATGATCCCTCCCGAAGGTTGGTTTTTCATTAACTTAACTCATTTTACTTATTAGCTGGAGTTTAATAAGCGAGCCATGCAGAGTCATACAACAGTCTTTCTCTTTAATAATATTTTAAGATCAGACTGCTCTGAGTCATCGTGGTTTATTTGCTTGTAACTTGCTTCTCCTGGGATGTGCAGCCTGATGAGACCCAGTGAGGCCAGTCCTTGCTGGCTGCTTGACCTTGATCATCAGGAAGACGTGCTGGGAATAAAATCAATAGCACATCAGCACTCAGCATCCATCGCTAAGCACCCAGCCCTCGCCGACTGTACTCGCAGTGCTTGGTGAACTCTATATCCCTATGGGGTGGGAAACTGAAGCCCGGAGGAGTGAAATAACTTCCTCGAGGCTATGCAGTTGGGGGCAGTGACAGACTGGCCTGTGAACACCACAGTTCATTGTCTTCCTTCCCACAGGGTCTCTGACCCATCTTGACTTGACTTAGCGTCCCAACACAGCCCCTATCTTGCAGAACCTCTCTATGCCTGGTCTCCTAGCTCCCCATCTCCTGTCCCCGCTCTCATCCTCTGTTCCCACTTACCTATGCCCCCTGCTGTCTCCAGCCTCCCGGATGCACACCTCTGCTCCACATCCTTCGGTGGGTCCCCATTGCCTGTGGATAGAGTCCAGCATCCTCAGCCTGGAATGCACGGACCTACGTCACTGGCCTCTGCCCATGTCATCTCCAGATGGCCACCGTGACACGTAGCCTTGAATGCCTATTCCACATCTGGGCACCCTTGTCTCTGCCACGGTGTCCTCCTCTAATGCCCAGACATTCAAATCTGCTCTGCTCTCTGAGAAACCTTCCTGGTGCGCGTCTCCCTCTATCTCAGCCACATACTTCTTAACTCTCTCCTCCTTCCCACATTTGGGCTGTCTTCTCTGGAGTGCCCCACACAGCAGGTGTTCAGTTAGTGCTTTCCAAATGAGTGAAGATTCTTGTTCCTCCAGGCTCCTGGGATATTGAGCTTGATATCAGGCCCTGGACACTTAGGGAAAGGCTCAGTTCAGGTTCACTCTGCTGCCAAGAGTGTGGTCAGCCTCCCTCCCTCCCTTCCTCCTTCCCTCCCTCCCTCCCTTCCTCCGTCCCTCCATCTCTCCCTCCTTCCCTCCCTCCCTCCCTCCATCCCTCCCTCCTTCCCTCCCTCCCTCCCTCCCTCCATCCCTCCCTCCATCCATCCCTCCCTTCCCTCCATCCCTTCCACCATCCATCCATCCCACCATCCATCCCACCATCCATCCCACCATCCATCCCTCCATCCATCCCTCCATCCATCCCTTCCACCATCCTTCTGTTGGCTCCATTCCCCCATGTGCTTCTTTCCCGTCCCAAGGCTGCCACTTTCTTTCCTGGCATCAGTTCAGACATGAGCCACTTTCTTTTCTCCTCTTGTCCAAATCTTCCAGCCTATGACTACTCGCCATCTCCTGCTGCTTAAAGGGCCTCTGGTCTCTAACAGGTTCCAGTGAGGACTTGAGAATCGTGAGATAGTGAAAACAAGACATGGAGTTGGGGAGCTGCGTGCCTCACTGCAGTGTCCCTTTTTGTTTTAACTGCTTGGGCTGGAACCAGGGCCTTTCACATGCAAGGGACGTCCTTTACCGCTAACATATATCTCAGTTTCATGGAAAGGGAAACTGAGGCCCAGGAGTGAGAAAGGGGTTCCATAAAGGCATGGATAGACCTTAGTTCAAGGCCCATTGGGAACTCTAGACTTTCTTTGGCCCATGCTGGCCTCTGGCATGGGGACCACAGAGACAGATGCTTCCACTCTGCTTCAGGCATGTCTGTGGCACCGAGCTTCCACAGGCTCGGATAGGTCTTGTCTGCCATGATCACCCAGGCAACAGAAGCCAGGGTGTGAATGCAGATTTGAGGCTGCACTGGGCCTCTCTTCCTTCCCAGCACATATGAAGTTCCCTACACATGACAGCAGGCCCGGCATACGCCAGTCTCCATCTGCAGGACCAGTTTCCCTGGGCTGGACGGGCCACCCATGGGTGGACATGCTGAATCAGAGACAATGTGAGGCTGAGCAGCAATGAGCAGCAAGGCAGGTCAGAAGCTGTGAGGGCCTATGAGGACCCATGTGGACAGACCGGGCTCACAGAGACTGGGTGGCTGTGTTGTGGCCTGAGGCTGTGACTATCACACCCTGGAGCCTTGTTCCATTGGGCCATGTCCTTGCCAGCTGGCCCTTCTGAGGACAGGAGCTTCACTCCATGACAAAGATGACACCACTCAAACTTGGAACTGCCCATCCTCACTGTCCTGTGTCCTGGTGCGCACATGTCTGCGACACCTATGGTGTTCTAGTCATGGTCTGTTTTCAACATGCTTGGTGGCCAAATCATGAAACCATACACAACTGGGTCTGCTGATTTGATCGCTCTGAGCCTCAGTTTCTCATCTATAAAATGGGATGACAATCCATGAGGATTAAATGAGAAGCCTGTGGCATGCTTGCGGACCACAGGATTTTCCCATCTGTTCAGTCGTGAGCCTCTGCCCTGCCCCAAGAGCCTGCAGAAGCAGGTAGAAGATGCAAGTCACCTTTCACAGGTGGAGAAATCAGGGCACCTGCAGTCCAGGCAGGGATTCGTGCAAGGTAGCTTGGCTTTGGATCTAGAACCCTGATTCCTCACTGCCCATCCCTGGCTGACCTCCTGCCACCATCTCTCTCTGAGAGAAAGACCCCACCCCACGTCACCTCCTTGTCCATGATGTATGCCTCAGGTGACTTGAGGGGTATGGGAGCAGCTGGACAAGGGCCCCCAAAATAAGCCTCTTTAAGTGTGTGTGGGACAGAGCGAAGAGGATTGTTGGGAAGAAACTCCCCAAAGAGGCTGAAAGACAGACTCAGTGGCTGAAGTGAGAACAGGGACAGTGGAGTGCTGTCCAGAGACACATGGCATACCCTCCTTCAGAGACAGTGTCCCTAGCCCCCTCCCTCTTACAACTGTCTGCTCCTTTATAATACCCTTTTGGAAAACCTGGGACCATCCACGGGCCTCCGAGACCCTCCCCATGCTCAGCTCTGGTTGCCTTCTGGTGCAGCATTAGCACGCACCAGCTCCACCAGCTCCTGCAGTGCTAGCGACATTTGCATTTTTCTGGCTGGCAAAAGGTGGTGCTTGGTGACTAGGGCGGAGGACATCACTGGTATGTGGGGATTAGCAACCTAGAGAGAGGGCCAGGCAAGCCAGGTGGAGGCCGAGATGGGCTGTGACAGGGACACTTGGGGTGGAGGGAGGAGCAACTGGAGGAATTTAGGGTCACTGTGTATCTAAGCATTTGCCAGGACACCAGGCAGTCCCCCAATGTATGCCCCACCTCACTTGTAAATGTGACACACACACACACACACACACACACCACACACACACACACACACACACACACACACACACACACACACACACACCACTCACACACCACACTCGTTCTATCACCTGCCTACGTTTGCTGAGCAGTTGCTTCATGTCAAATGCTCTCCTACGGGCTTCAAGACAGATGAGGCATTTCAACTCCCAGCAACCTTTGGGGAGAGATACCATTATCCATCTAAATGAAGAAACGAATGCTCTGTGAAGACAACTGATGTGCCCCGGATCCTACTTCTGAACCAAAGTTGTTATTCAAGCCTGTGGTCAAGATCTACCTGTTTCTCATGCTTCTGGCTTCTGGGCACAATTCCCCACACCTTGCCCGAACTCAAACACAGCCAGGAAGCAATTCTTTGTTGCGATCTGTGACTGGAAAAAAGTGTTGCCCCACACTTCTGACGGCATGTCCGGGAGGCTCCCGCTGAGGCGGGGGACTGTTCAATAGGCTGCAAGCCTGACGAGGAGAAAAGAGTAGGCCTGCATTGGGAGACCCAGGTTTGCTATGTGCCTCTAGTCAAGCCACCCCCCTCTCTGGGTATCAGTCTCCTCGCTGGTTACAGGAGACCAATGGGTCTATCCTGCTTGCCTACCACAGATGCGTTTTCACACAGACAAGGACCTTTTCTCCAAGAGGCTCAGAAACCAACACTTCCACTCTTTTGTGCCACTGAAGTTATGCATCTGAGTGAATTGGGCACATTCGTTAGTCTCCCTTCTATAGGACACTTTGCTCTGTGCAGCTTGGCAGCAGGCTGACATATGTTACTCTGGTACTCTGGCATGCATACATCCATGAACCATGTGCACATACCTTTATGCTTCTGAATCGTTTCCTCTACACTTCAGCTGGGTCCTGGTGCCAGGTCCCCAGGTCAGAGCCCAGGCTTCTGTAGACTCGGCTCTTTGTACTGCCTCCTGGGAGCCCAAGGGCATTGCAAACCAGACCAGAAGGGGAAGCCTGGAGCACAGAGAGGTAATGACATCAACTCGGCCGGACAGTCAGGACTCTCCTGCTTCCCTGACAGGTAGACACCTGCTGGATAGCCTGCAGCCTGCAGAAACCAGCTGTCCTGATACAGCCATCTCTGCAGGTGAACTCCCTGGCGTGCTTTCTGAAAACGGACACGGGCTCCCCATCACCGCTTACCAGGTAAGGGAGTTTTGGCTTGCCCTTTAGGGCAAGACCACTTCTGCTGTCTTCTTTGTTGTCGCTGAGACCATCAGCAGGGCACCCTGTCCTCCACCATAGCCCTCACTATCCCATTGGTTAGCACCAGGACTCAATGATCAAAGCATCTGAAAGGCCAGGCTTTCCCACTGCGCAGCAGCTCAAATCTGCCAGATCCGCAGGTGGCAGCAGGCTTTCTCCTGAGCTTCCATCTGCTTCTCTAATGGTCACCCTGCTGTTTGAGCCCCTAGGGCATGGATTGAACTCTATTCAGTGGAAAGGGATGCCCCTACCTCTTCAAGAAAGAGGAACTAGATTTAGCCTCAGAATACCCAGGTCTAGGGTGAGCTCTCTCCCCGGAGGACCAACCCAACCTGGTTTCTTCAAACCTCCTCAAGGAGAAGGGGAGTGGTGGGAGACAGTCCCGGAGGAATTGGTATCCCCCGCCTGGGAACCGGAAAGCAACAGCTCTGCCCCACACTTAGGGTGTGATGTAAGAGTTCGTGTGGAAAAAAAGAGATTGCTCTGCAGAAAAGCTTGAAAAGCACAGCTTAGCACTCAGCTGCCATGCAGCTGCAGTCAAGGGCTGCTTGAGGGCCATACTGTGTCTGGTGCTGGTCAACCACAAACCTACAAACCTCTAGGCTCTCCACCAGCATGGAGCGCTCTCCCCCTCCCTAGCTCTGACTCACCACACAGACCTGCCCTTATATGGTGTGGCTAGCTCCTCATGGTCAAAGCCTGCTCACCCCCCCATCCAGCCTCTGGGTCCCGAGTGGCTGCTGTGTGCTGTTTTGTTAGATACTGGGAACTGGACAGCACAAAGGCCTTCGCCCTCAGGCTCGCTGCCCTGTTTTCCAGGAGCTCTTCTGAGGACAGGATCCTCTTCTGGGGTTTTATCCTCCACCACTCCCAAGGGTCTCCCTCTGTACCCAACCCTGGTCAGACCTAGGGGACATTTGCAGGCTCTGTTAGTTCCCACCATTTTTCAAGGGCCTCCTCACATGGATCTGACATATTAACACTCATACTCGGTCCTTGCCCTCCAAGACTTGGAGTTCCAGATGCCCTAGAACAGAAAGGGCCCTGCCAGAGAGCTCTGTGCAGACCTCTCAGGTTCCAAGCCATTCTGCAACACAACAGAAGGAGCCTCTGGTACCAATACTCCAAGCTTCAAGGGCTCCCAGCCCACTCTGCAGGAGACCTGGAGCTCCAAGCCAAAGGAAGAAGAGGTTTCTCAGCTGGATAGTAAACCAGGGCCTCAGTGTCTAGGAACTGGGTCTGAAAACTGGCTAGGATACCGGGCAGGAGAAGATGTGGGGATGTCATGCGAAGGCAAGAGTAGAAACCAGAGAGCATGAGTCCTCAGAGCAGGCCATCCTGGTGCACCTTGGGCCGGCTGGAGGCCTGGGATAGCTTTCCTGCTAAGCTGCTTGGGCTGGAGCCGACGCCCTTCTCCCAGTGCCTCTCTTGCTCTTGGGAAAGCATGTGGGGGCCTTTTGAGAAGCAGGGTCGCTAACTGCATTCCCTAGCTGCCTGCGGGCTTTGTGTCTTGTTCTGGCGGCTTGTTTCTCATCTTCTGAAGTAGGTTCTCACTGTCTGGTCTAGGCCATTCTCAAACTCACCATCCTCCTGCCTCCACCTTCCTAGTGCTTGAGTTTCAGGCATGCGCTACAGCAAGCATCATGGCAGACCTAGAATTAGAGGTTGGCTACATTTGCTTTGGTTTTGAGGTAAGAGCTTACAATGTAGGCTAGGCTGGCCTTGAATCCCCGTCCTCTTGCCTATAGCTCCCAAGTGCTGGAACTGCAGAGTGCACCACCGTGCCTAGCCTCTGCATTTGTTTTCCTCGGTTTATATTTACAGCCTTCCTGTCCTCCAGTTTGTCATCTGTGAAATGAGAGCAGGACACCTCCCAGTTTTAACCATGGTATCCCCAGTCAGTCCCCAGCCGCACACTTTTCCCAGTGTTCCTCCACCACTCCCAAGCCTCCCCCCACCCCCGTGTCAGGAAGCACACCCATAATAACCCACTTCTTCCAGAACTCAGAACTCAGGCGTAGACGACACGTGCCTCCAGAGTGCTGTTGGTGAAGAGTGCCAAGAAACTTGTACTTCAGTTGCTATTTCCTCTCTCTCTCTCTCTCCCTCTCTCTCTCTCTCTCTCTGTGTGTGTGTGTGTGTGTGCTCATGCACACATGCAGAGGTCAAGAGGACAGCCTTCATAAGTCAGTTCTCTCCCTCCACCATGTAGGTCCTTGGAATTCCATTAGCTCCTCAGGTTTCATGGTGTAGCGGTTTGTTTGTTTGGTTTGTTGGTGGTTGGTTGGTTGGTTGGTTTGGTTTGGTTTTATTATGGTGTGGTGATTTGAATGAAACTATCCCCCATAGGCTCTAACATTTTAACACTTGGTTCCCAGTTGGTAGAGCTGTTTGGGGAGATGTAGAAAACGTTGTCTTTCTGGAGGAAGTATGTCACTTGGGGGTGAGCTTTGAGGTTTCAGACCCTTGCACCATTCCCAGTTTGCTCCCTGCTTGCAGTTTAAGATGTGAGCTCTTAGCTGCTACTCCAGCGGCCGTGTCTGCCTGCTGTTGCACCTTCCCACTGTGATGCTCATGAACTCTTATCCCTCTGGAATCAAACTGAAATAAACCCTTCTATAGATTGCCATGACCATGATGTTTTATCACAGCATCAGAAAAGTAACCAAGACAGGTGCCAATCACCTTTATCTGGTCAGATGTCTTGCCAGGCCTTGGAGTTCAACTTGAGCATCTTAGGTAGGGTTTGGAGCACTGTTTATTCATCCAGGCACCCAAACCCTGGTGATGAAGTGGGAGCCATACCCCTAATTCCAGATAGGGCACAACTTCCTTCTTCCCATCACATTCATTCATTTGTCCATGAGCATTAGCCTGGGTTGTGAGAGTCGCATACTATCCCCTTGAAGAGGATACCGTGGACCCTGCTCACAGGGCTCTGGATCTGTAGACTAAAACCTTGGGCATAATCCCATTCTTGCCCGAGTGGCTCCTGGAACTTTCATTAACTCCTTCTTGTCTTCCTAGACTTCAGGAGTGAAATACTGTTATCCTTAGACCCAAAGTGTGGGCTGAATTGTCAAGTCCAAGCTCTGCCCTCTGCAGATAGACATGTCCCAGGGAGGCAGTAGGGTCTGCTTGTAGGTAGAAATGGTGGCATGGCATTTTGTTCTCACTGCTTGGATCCTGAATTACAAGGGGTTGGGATATTTGTAGACAGCACAAATATTGGAAATTGTAGAGGATCCTTCCTGGCCAGCATCCTCCTTGCCCCTTCATCTTCCCCCTTCTGTCTCCAGCAGTGTGCAGAACCTGGTGTGTGAGGCGTCTGTCAGAGGCTGGCGAATGGGTGGGGCCAACGGATAGATTGCAGTGGATCTCCACAATCTATTCTTCCCAGTCTCAGGCCGTGTGTAGAGCGGCCAGTCTCCGGCTTTGTGCCCCGACAATTTGATTTTGCTCCTGGAGAATGTCATTGGTTTTCCAGTGGTGCAGCGGACAAAGACCAAATGGCTTTGAGTTTATCGGTTTCTGCATCAGTAGCAGGAGGCAGCCTGTGGCGTAGGCTGTCAAAACCGAGAATTTAAACCCAGCTTCCGAGCAGAAAGGCCTTGAACCAGTTCTTGTAGCGTCCAACTGCGGAGGGCTGTGGTAAGCTTTAAATTAAACCCTATGTGCAAGCCACCTCACAGCACTTGGGGTGTGGGATAAGGACTTGGGAAGGATGCTTGGAGGGTGTGTTTATGGCCCCACTTAAACTCTTTTGCATAAAACTCTCTCTTCCCAATAGAGTTCAGCTCAGTGCTTTGTGTTTTAAGACAAGATCTTCTGTGTAAGGTATCAGGAGAAGCTGAAGGGATAACTCAATGTTTAAGAGCACTTGCTGCTCTTGAGAGGACCTAGGTTAGGTTCCAGTACTCTCTTGGGATGGATCACAGTCATCCATAACTCCAGTTCTAGGGGACTGACACCTTTTTCTGGCCTCCACAGGCACTCCGCAAATGTGATGCACATACAAACACTCATGCATACCCACATACACATACAAATGAATGCATCTCTTTTAAAAGTCATTCATGCTATTTAAGAATTCCAATTAGGAGGCAGGCATGGTGACGCACACCTTTAATTCCAGCACTCAGAAGCCTGAGGCAGGCAGATCTCTGTGAGTTCAAGGCCAACTGGGACTAAACAGGATAGTCAGAGCTCCATGATAAAGAGAGTATGTCTCAGAACAGGCAAAAAAAATTCTGAAGAGGGCTAGAGTGATAGTGCTCACTGTGTAAGCATGAGGAGCTGAATCTGAGTCACAGACCCCATGTATGAAACCTAGGCACAGTGACATGTTTATAATCCCAGCACTTAGAACATCAAGACAGGAGGATCCCTGGGGCTCTGTGGCTAGCCAGCATAGTTTACTTGGCAAGCTCCAGGCCAATGGGAGACCCTGTCTCTAATAAAGGCAAACTGTGCCTGAGGAATGGCATCTGAGGTTGACCTCTGGCCTCCACATGTATGCACACATGTGCCTGCATTCCAGTTCACACACAGTGCATAAGATAAAACTAATTTGAACAATTCAGAGGGTTTAACTTAAGACACAAGTACCTTTGTGACACCTCTTGGCTTCTCCATTCCCACCGCACAGCCATGTCCTCTTTCAATACGGAGCTTCCCCAGACTGCGGTGTGCCTCTGTGGCTTCTCTTGGTAAGGACAGGAACAGTTAGTCAGGGGCTGCCATGGGGACATGCTGTCCAGGCCATAAGCCTTGAGACAGGGCACCTTCAGCCTCTGACTCCCCTGAGGTCTCAGAGACCTGGAGAGGCCAGAGCTTACACCCAGCCACATTCAACCCAGGCTGGGAGAGCCAAGTAGGCAAATGTGGCCACATTCTGCATCTCTCTCCTACCACATGTCCCAGGATTGGGTTCAGCCCAG